TAATCGATACACTTGTGTCATGTGTGGTGTTCAGTTATGTGCATCGGCTGATAACACGCATTGTTCTCATTGACATTCATCAAAATTGAACTAGCCGTGACGTACCGATGGGGGGAGGGGGAGGGGGGGGATATTAGTATCGTCCGAACGATCTCAAGCAGCTAGTCAGATTATTCGTATGTTGTCAACTAAAGCATTAAAAGGGCCCGGTGGGTGTTATCCACGGTCCATTCATCACAAAAGGATGCAAACGTATGTATATGTAACGTTGTTGCTGTAGCCCCTGTCAAAAAAAGGTTGAACAAAAACGGAAAAACAACAACTTATAAGGTGTTGCAGGCTGAGCAACGTCACATTATCATTCATCGGTCAAACATTGACCACTCAAAGGAAAATCGAAGAAAATGTGGCTGCTCTTGAATTTTGTAATTGCTGTTCGAATAAATCGTGCATTTGACGTTCATTGTCAACGATAATGTCGCTTTTTATGACGCAAATGCAGCTAGAGTAAATTCATATTCATTCTCATATCCAAAAAGTAATTTCGGCCGCCTTGAAATAAGCCAGCATTAAGATCAGTGTGATTTAGACGAGACCACAAATAATTTACAATAAATTTTGATGGGTTACATATATAATGACCTTCAATTCAAGTGTACATGTTTCGCTTGTTCCTATATCCACTCCTGCGCTACCATATCCCACCAGCAGCCAAACGGCCGCTGATTGCCCGGGCGGCTCAAATGTCCGGGTGATCGCCGGTACATGTGGCGATTAGTTGGCTGACGGTTCCGCCTGTCCCTTCTCACGGCGAGGCACGGGCGGTCTCACGGCGACGTAACACGCGGCGCGGCGGGGGTAAAAATGAAGACGGATGGTGCAGGGTTCACTACAGCGGCAGACGACACCACCCAGGGTCACGGTCAGATTGGCCCGGGCTCTGGGGACCTGCTTACGTCACTGGGGAAGGATGTGACGTAACATGGGTAACAAGTAACAACAAGGCCTCTCGAAGAATATTCAAGTCCCTTAGGGTGAAACGAGTCATAGTTCATTTCAAATTTATGCGTAACTTATGCCGACATAGTAGGAATAATTTTTGCATGTTATTTCCCCGACCATCCGGGCTTTGCACACACTGATGGGAGTCATGGTTTTCTTTTTGAAAAATATCCAGCATCGAATTGTTCACTGTTCAAAGTATGTATGTATGTATGTATGTATGTATGTATGTATGTATATATGTATGTATGTATACACCGTACGACTAATTAAAATTAATCTAGAATAAAATTCAAGTGAAAATATTGAACACATACAAAGCTGGAACAAAGTTAGGTTCGTATTGAGACATGTATGCTGTGGCAGCGGCTGGCAGCGCGACCGTGAAACACCGCCCTGGAAGGTTAACCAATGACCAAGGACCTTAACCCTCGCCCTGGCAGGGGGGGGGGTCGATGCGACCCCCCCCCTAAGGTTTTTCGAGGATAGCGTAAAAACGGCGGCGCGCAGCGCCGCCAAATTTGGCACAGCCTATGGGGCAACCTTTTTACATATGACCTGAAAATTTCAGGTCCGGGTGACCTTGGGTCAGGTCACCAGGTCAGAAAAACCGGTACAAGGTCATGGTCAAATTTCAATTTTCTTTTTGCACTTGTCCAACTCACAGTTTTGCACTGATTTCCTTCAAACTTTCAGGATGTGCTAAGTTCACCGAGTTGTACAACATATAGTTCGGGTTTTTTGAGGTCACTGACCTGAGGTCAGTTAGAGGTCATTACGTCGTAATGTTAAGCCTATGGGAAAATACTAAATTCGGAAAATACTGGAGATATCCGCTTCGTTCTATCACTTTTGTGCTTTGAAACCACAGTACTTAACAGCAGGTCACTTGGTGCTTCTTTGTTTGGTGTACTTATCCATGGGTCAGGTCAAATGAGGTCAACTGAGGTCAAATGACGTTTTTGCCAATAACTTGGCACATAATGACGCTAGAGCTTAAAAAAATGGTATCATTGTGTTCCTGGTGATCAGCCGAATCGAATGATATGCGATATGATGTAATTTGGTTAACTTTAACTTAATTCATTAATTTAACCCTCGCATGTGTAGGGGGGGGGGGTCGGATGGACCCCCCCATGGTTTTTCGCGAATAACTCGCGTAAAAAACGGCCGATCGCGACGAAACTTTCAGTACCCTCACATTGATCAATTTTACACCTACCCTGCAAATTTCATGACCCTGACCCAAATGACCTTTGACCTGTGACCTCTTTTCCGAGACCATGTTTGGCCGGAATCGCGATTCTGCGTATGTCGGCTCGCATTAGCCGCGCGTTTGCAAGCTTTTCGTGGTTTCAAACGTTCAAACATGTGATTTGATGTTGTTTCCATGCATTAGGGTGGGTGTTGAGGTCACCTGAAGGTCAGGTCAGGTCATTGACCTTTGGTGACCTCGGGTGACCTCGGCTCACTTTTTCGAGCTGTACATGTTTCTAGGCTAGTTTTTGGAGCTGAATTCGAATTTAGCAACCATTTGAACATTTACGAAGTAGTTTTGGTGCCTTCGTAACATGTTACGAAGCTGTCAGTGGCGGTGGACACGTACTACGAATACCCTTCACGATGCCTACTGGTTGACCTGACCTGACCTGACCCGACCTGGCCTAAATGCTTAAAGCCATCATCTGTGATCAAAACTAACACGATATTCGTGATCAGCACCCCGAAAAACCCCTTAGCAGCTACACTTTACGACTTTCTAACAGGTCCCGATTTTCCCGACTTTGGGTCATTGACCTGACCTGGAAGGTCACCCAATGACCTAGGACCTTAAAATTGGGTATCATCGGCTTCCTCTCGTCACGGGCAACACGCTCGTTTTTTCCGCGAAGCGCTAGCTCGATCAGGGGCCAAACGGCAAGGGGGGGGGGTCCAACCGACCCCCCCCCCCTACACATTAGAAGCTGGCAAACGCCGCACACATGCGAGGGTTAAGTTTACTTAAAATTTAAGAAAAACTTTAAGTACACTTAAGCAAGCTAAAAAGTATATCATTCGACGCGCCTTGACGTGCTGAGTTCACTGGTGCTTTTCTTTTTGCTCTATCTTAATTAGATCAAAAGTTATAAGCGAAAAACTTTTGACCTGTTTTTAGCGAAATTTTTACACTTATACCCCCCAAAACCCCCCTAAATATTGACCTAGAGCAACCAAATTTGCACAGGGGCGAGAACTCCAGGGGGCCCACCTACCCACCAAATTTGGTGTTTCTAGGTGCCATAGGAGCCAATCGCGAGGGGGGGGGGTCGCATCGACCCCCCCCCCTGCCAGGCCGTGTTATGAAAAATGCCCTGCCAGGGCGAGGGTTAAAATCGGGTATCATCGGCTTCCTCTCGTCACTCACAGGCAACACACTCGTTTTTTCCGCGAGCTCTAGCTTGATCAGGGGCCGAACGGCAGAGAGGTTCAACCGACACCTCCCAGCCCGCGAAGGCTGCGCCAAGCACCAACCCGGAGCGGTGGTCGACAAAAGCAATTTGAAGTGTTTTCAAAGTAATATTAAGGCACGGGTTGAGTGGGCTACCATTTCTCTCTCTATTTTTTTTAGTTTAAAAAAAATTATCGTTTCAGGGCTGTGACGAAAAATAAGTGGCCTAAATCCGATGAGAAAACAGGATTTGGGGGTAGGGGAAAGTGGGTGTATTGCGCCCTCCTAACCAATTGCGCCCACCAACATTCCCACGAATTCAATGGCATGTTTATAATTTTGTGTTCGAAAACAATATTTTCACCACCGGATAGTTCATTTTATGGCCTAAGCTCTCCGACGAAGCCAATCAGCAGGGCTCATTACGCCATCGAAGATATTACGGCGTTTTCTTAACTTTTTTGCAGTATTTTGAACCATTGGCTATAAAAATTGTGATACGTGTGTGATTTTCAGAGTGATATTTAGAAAGAAAACGCCTTTTTTCATTATATTTCACTTTAACAGTAAACTTCCTTCAGCATTTTTATGACAACTTCTACGCTTTTATTAAAAAGTATCTCAATTTTAATTGCGCCCATGGCAATTGCGCCATGGGGGCGCAAATAGAATAATGGTTTAGCTATTGCATCACGACAGTATGATTGCATCATTAACTAATTGCAATAAAAAAGGAGTTTAATGCCAGGCAGGGGAGCAGCCCGCTGTCGCCAGTCCGCAAATTATTTCTCTCGTCAAACTAAAAATGCAGCTGCCATTTAGGCTGCGAACTTGTGGTGTAATTGACAAAATACGGCATTTTCAACACGGACTCGGGCGTGAGAGGTGACAGCTATGATAAAAAAGTAAAAACTGATGTCAACAAGTTGTCGAAACGATAAAAATTATTAATTTTGACAGAAACAATTGAAAATTTAACCGTATAGGCGCATAGTTACGTTCACATACATATATCTAGCCGCTTACACTAAACGTTTTCGTTGCACTTGTACAAGCATACGGACACATGTAAAGTGATTTACTTGGGCAAAAAACATCGCGATTTATATCTACATTTATTATTTATCCAGCCTGATTAACATTATAAATGTTAAAGTAAGCCGCAATAACATCAGACTGCCGGGGTGTACGCATTCCGTCTCATTCGCTTAGCCATGTTTAAGTATAGGGCGCAATTGGATTCTAATTGCGCCATCCCACTGGCGCAATTTACAGCAGTTGTTGGTAAATGCGCCCTTTTGCATGTTTCTGAAAAAGCAGCTGTCGGAAGCAAACGAAACATTCTTAATTGATCGGGAGGCTCTTAAATCGTAGCTAATGAGTTCCTCTTTGAAGTGGTTACCAGTGCGTGCTTACCTATATCTCCATCGGTTTTCTTACAATTAGCGTTTTTCCTTAAGGTGGCGCAATTCACCCTCCTTCCCCTACCCTAGGTTTGGCTCCTTGCACGAGTTGGCCCCCCCCCCCCAAAACGCAAGTCTGGATCCGCCAGTGTGTATGCATCAGCCAGTCAGGTATGAAAATATATTTTCCAATTCATGTGTACCAAATCAGGATTAGTTAGTAACCATACAAGCATACACTTTTACAACAGTAATGGCAGTACGCTTTGCGCGTATTTTGCGTCAGCGACTCAATTATAACTATAATTGCAATCAACACCATTTCACAAACTATATATAAGCAGTGCTGCGATGATGATACATAGAGCAGAAACATTGCGACAAAAAAAAAATCATTTTCTTTAGTCTGGGCTCACAGTCACACATCCTTTCATTCATCTACTTCTTATGCATTTCATCTAACTTCACCTTGTTCTCCCTCCAACGCTTCCAAGGTCGGTCTATTCAGTCGCACCGCTTGTTCTGGTACCTTTCAATTTGTCCCGTCCAATCAACGTCTCCCCCGTCTCCATCTCCTGTTCCATCTCGTCTAGTCTCAGTCTCGTCTCCGTCTCCGTCTCCGTCTCCCGTCTCCTCGTCTCCATGCCGTCTCCTCGTCTCGTCTCATTTAACTACATCTACTTGGTGGCCACGCCGTAGCAGAAGGGGTTAAGCAGGGCGACCCCCTTCGGTGTGGCCGAGGCTGGCTTCATCTGATTGTCGACAACCATCACAGTGTGGTGCTCCAGGTCGCTGAAGCCGCCGTTCTCTAGCGCCTGTCGGTCATGGGACAATGTCTCAAGTCACAAGGCAATATTCTCTGGGTGATACGTTGTCAGCCCCTGTCTGAGATTGTTTCAACATTTGGGCAGACTGCCAATGCGACCAGGTTGTGGGGTTGAGGGCATCAAAACAATTTCCATTCCAGGTCATTGCTTTCCACCTGCATTATGGTCCTAACTCATGCTAAGTGTTCCAATATATAATTAACCGGGCAGTTACGTGCGGACAGCGTAAATTCTATATTCCGAATCTAGTCTTTACTTGCCACACAACTTCCAACAGAACGCTTGCATGGTGTCCCACGGTAACTGAATTCTCAGCCTTGGCCACTAGGTGACACTAAGGACGAGTCTCAATGGAACAGATACACCTCACAATTGAGTCGTTTTACTGACCGGCGCGGGGTCCTTGTTGAGCACACAGCCGTCCATGAGGAAGGGCCACAGTCCACAGTTGGTGACGGCCTCCTGCACCCAGTGGCGCCACGTTCCTGGACGGTGGGTTGAGTGCTCCAGGAAGTAAAACTTGCCGCCCTGGAGACAGACAGATAAAACGGTCATACCTTACGATACTCCGGCGTAGGAGGGATAAGGCGACCTGCTGCGGTTACTAGATGGCGCCCCTGTTGCTGCTCTAAACGTCTGTCTTACAGCCAGATACACTCTCCGCAGCCACCACAAAATTTTCTCTCAGATGGCACCACTGCCACCACAAACCTACCACCAGATGGCGCTACAACCACAACCCACTAAGTTTTACTTCGAGTTCTAAGGCTGGTCTTCCAGAGTCTACAGTTGCACCTCCGCTCACCGGGTTCCACCGGACAATAAGTCAGTCGCCCATCACCAATCAATCGCTTTTCTCCTCTCATTCCCTCCATCCCTCCCTTTCCTCTACTTCTCTTTTTCTCTTCCCTCCCTCTCCTCTCCTCTCCTCTCTTCTCCTCTCCTCTCCTCTCCTCTCCTCTCCTCTCCTCTCCTCTCCCCCTCCCTCCCTCCTTCTCATTCCCGCCCTCCCTTCCTCCCTCCTTCTTCCCTTCCCTCGTCCTCCCCCTTCCGTGCATCAGGTCACCTACCGGCACGAGAACTCGTCGTATCTCCCGGAACATCTGATCCAGGTCCGGTACACTGCAGAGTACCAGAGAAATCACCACCACATCCACCGAGCCGTCGGCCACCGACGGCATCGACTCGCCGCGCTCGACGACGAAACGGATGTTTGGGTCCAGGTGGGCGGCCTTCTGCTCACATTCACGCCGGAAATAGACCTCGAAAGACTTGTTGGGGTCGATGCAGGTGAGCTTGGAGCCCGGTGGGTAGAACTCGAGGTTCTGGCCGGTGCCGACGCCAATCTGAGGAGAGAGGAGCGCGAGGGTGTCAACGGGAGCGAGATAGATAGATAGATAGATAGAGAGAGAGAGAGAGAGAGAGAGAGAGAGAGAGAGAGAGAGAGAGAGAGAGAGAGAGAGAGAGAGAGAGAGAGAGAGAGAGAGAGAGAGAGAGAGAGAGAGAGAGAAGAAGAAGAAGAAGAAGAAGAAGAAGGGAGGGAAAGGAGAGAGGGAGGGAGTTCTGTTGATTAGCTTGTGCAAGCACTATGCACTTTATTCGATAAGTGCATACTTACTTATCGCAAACGCTTGCCAAATTCTAACAGCTTACCTCTAAAATATTAAGTGCTTTCTTTTTCAAAAGCTCTGGATCGGCCGACTTGAGATCCTTCAGTGATGAGAACAGCTCCAGTTTGGTCGTCCTGAGCATGGCCCGTTCGTCTTCCTTCATCGTGTACTCGGTGAGGAAGGCGAAGAGCCAGTCCTGGGATGCCTTGAACCGCTCGGCACCCACGGCTATTTTGAACAGGATGGCGGGGAACACGAGCCATCCCACCAGCAGGCATATCCAGTTGAACAGCCAGAGACAGGTCCACAGCATCGTGACGGTAGACGTCTGAAAGCAGAAACAAACATAAACGTACCTAAGTCGTTTCGACTTAGGTAAGTCGTTTAGGTAAGGTTAGGAGGCACTTCGTAAGTCACGTTTCGGAGTACCTCCTAACTCCGAAACTACTGGGTCGATCGTCAAAATTCAAACGGCGTCTGATAGCCCCGGAAAAACTGTCGAGAGAAACCTAATTTCATTGACCTCAAGGTCACCGATGACGTCAAAGGTCAGGTCAAAGTAAAAATTATTAGCATTTTGGCTTGTTCACATTTTGGGCCCTGGACGCCGTCTTACAAGTCAGATCAGGCTCATTTTTGGTTTACATACTCGTGAGCAGATGCTTTAGATACCCTGAGGGTACCAAACTTGTACTTTGATTTTCAGGTCAGGGTCAGGTCATCACAGGTCACGGAAATATTATATCATGTGTCGGTCACGTGACACATGTTTTGTGGTCCATTTAGGCCATATATTTCGAATTTGATGTCGTTTGTGTCATTTGAGGCCATTTTGGGTTGAATTTAGCTCAGGTCAGGTCACTTTCAGGTCAAAAAAGATCAAATTTTGAAGTTAAAATGTTTGAACAAACACGGTGTCTATTAGATGAAGTTTGAGCTCAGGAACACGATGGTGCTTTTTTATATTGGTGTACGATGTCAAATACATACGTACTGAAAAATCGATTTGAAAAATTATTTTTGTGAATTTTTTTGCAATAATGCGTATAACTTGGCTATTTTTGAAGATATTTAGCTAAAACTTGCTACAGTAAGTCAAAAGCATGTGTTCTATCACATTTTTTTTTTAAATAAATTTAGTCCGAACCTTGTGATGGGAAGGATTCACAAGGACAGAGCCACTGCTAAGCGAAGCTTGTTGCGGTGACCCTGCCCTCTACCCTCCGATCGCGCAATTCCAGTTCTATGGCAGAATTTAGAGTCCAAAGTTTAACGTGCGCACATAGCCGCGCACGGCCGGTCCCCTCACTGACTTCGCCTGGCTACGGCCTGCCACCAACCGCAACCATACCTGTCAGGAGGCCCATAAATGTCAAGCGCGCGTCGCGCTTCGAACCCGGACTGTTGTAACCGGGAACGCGTGCTCTCACCACACGGAGTCCAACGCTCTACCAACTGAGCTACGGGACCGGCTTATATTCTGTTTTTTTTTTTTCGTAAAGTCAAAAAGTTTTTGAAAAAATATGAATCTTGAACTTATTATACCTGTATAATTTTCAAAATTCTCAAAATGTTGAAAATCTGAGACAGCAGTTTGATAGCGCAGTCTATTCTGAGTCCTCTCATGCAAAGAAATTGGATCTAGCTTAAAAACTGAGCTCTTGGGAGGATTGCCGTGGTTCAATGTTTTACGTCGAAATCGGCCGAACATGGCGTCACTCTGACGTCATTATCGGCCGACCTATTGTACTCATTGTAGCTACGAAGTTCATATTTTGACACAAGGTGTCAAAATGATGCAGCCGAAGGACTGAATTGACTTGTCATGTTTTTATCTATGTACTCTGACTCGGACTAAATATTAACCCGCGACCTGGTGGGGGGGGGCTATTTTTTGCCCCCCTCCAGACTTTTCGATATATCTCCAGAACCGCTCCGCCGATCGTCACCAAACTTTCAGTACCCTCCCGGACATCAATTTTACACATTGTGACCAAAAATTTTTCCAAAGGCTATGATAGGTTGGCCGGAAATGACGTCAGAGTGACGTCATGTTCTGCCGTTTTCGACCCAAAAAGAGGGTTTCGCGGGAAGAGCTGTCAGGCCTATAGCTTTGCGAATACAGAAAAATGATAAAGACATAAAAGCTGTAGATTGGACAGGGCTACGAAACTGCTATCTCGGATTTTTGAAATTTTTGGATTTTGACCCCCAAAAATAAAAAATAGATTTTTTGAATATAATAATCGAAAAATCCAAAAAGTTTTTTGAATTTCGCAAAAACCGGAAAATATGTGATAGTCCTTACCGCCTTCAATCCACATACCAAATTTTAGAATGATACCTCTTTTTTTGGCGAAGCTATAGCGAAAAAACTGTTCAAAATTGATGACGTCAAATTTTCAAACTCAGTTTTTAGCATTTCTAGACCCCGTAGCGCAAAACAAAGACCACCATTAGACTCCCCGTGACGAGCTGCATCGAATCAATACCCATTTTACGCAAAACTATCAACTTTAAAATTTGACCTTTTTTGGCCTGACCTTGACCTGACCTTGACCTGAACTTCACCAGAAAGTGACCTAAGCCGTACCTGATAGTCTTATAACCAACACCATTGAGTTGGAAATGAAAAATTGGCCATAAAACATGTATCACACAACCTTAGTAAAGTTGGGCTCATGTGACCTGACCTGTGACCCTTGGTGACCTGACCTGTGACCTGACCTGGTATTGCCAGTGACCTCTAATAGCAACATATCTACTAGGCAACTGACGCCCTACCGCTGATTCTCGACAAAATGCGTTTTCCTCGGTGTTATAGCGCATTCCCTAGAAGACCCGTGAACGGTGAAACATTTAATCTTTGACCTGATCTGTGACGTCATCGGTGACCCCGAGGTCAATGAAATTTGGTTTCCTTCGATAAATTTGACAGGCCTTTCGAACGACGTTTGAATTTTGCGGATCCGTCCAGTAGTTTCGGAGATACGAGGGGGGGGGCAAAAAATAGCCCCCCCCCCCCCACCAGGTCGCGTTATAAACAGACCCCACCAGGGCGCGGGTTAAGCCACTATGTGGAAATGTCCTCAATACACCGAACTTGAACTAGAACTTGAACTGAAAGTTTGGCGTCGATACGTTCAGTGGTTTGGAAATTATTGCAGAAAAAAAAAACTGGAGACGAGGATTATGTCAAAAGCTATAGCCGAAAGTCTTTTCCACGAAACTGCAATTTAACCCTATTAGTGGCAGGCTCCTGGCTACCCCATATTAGTGGCAGGGGGGGGGCTGTTTACGACCCCCCTTGATATCTCGAGATCTAACGGGCCGATTTTCAAAATTCAAACGGCATTCGATGTGGCTCAACGAGATCTACATTTCTAAAATTAAAATTAAAAAATGTCAATAGGGGGTAGAGGGGGGTAAAAACGGGCAAATTGCAGATACATTTTAGACTGTTTATCACGGCCAGGTTTCTGAACCAATCTTAACGCAACTTTTGCCGATCGATAGAGAATGAACCAGGAATTCACATGGATCCTAAAAATATGCATTTTCAAAAATCATAGGCGGATACAGATCATTGAGATTGGGGGTACACAAAAAGTATAGTAAATAAGGTTTTTGTTGGTACTGTTTCTAAAAAGGGTGGCAGTGGTCTTGTTATGTTACAATTTTCTTATGAGAGAACGACTAAAATTGTATTGGTCATGCATAGGCGGTGTCAGGGCACCTATGTTGGGAGGTAAAAAATAACCCCCCTTTTTGGACGCCTGGATCCGCCTATTATAGCAAAAACGTGTCAAAAGAGGATGCACAATAACTTTGTATATGTTATCACATGATACCTTTCATTCACTGTTCGTAAAACTGGTGCAGCATCGTGATCTTCGCCCAAATGACTCGCTTCACGAATAGGACCCCCCAATTCCCAGTGCTCTGGAGCCGCCCCTGGTAAAGTTATGAACTTGAAATTTTCAAGGAATGTGCCCAATTTAGTTTTAGGAAAAGTCAGAAAATTTCAGCATCGTAGCTTCAGCGGTTTCGGAGATATTCCCGAAAAACCTGAGGGGTGGATAAAAACAACCCCCCCCCCTGCCACTAATAGGGTTAACGTTATTATAGTGCCGTCTGGATGCCTCACCGTTAAACTTGGCGGTCCGATCTGAGGCAGTCACATCACGCAAAGAGCAGAAATGAGGCTTCACAAAATTGCTCTAGTCCTAGAATTTCACGAGTTGCAAACAAGGGATAATTTACTGTAATTGCCAGTTATACCACTTCATACAGGAATATTTATCAGCTAAGGAGCTATACCTACTTACAATTTTAGCGGCGTTACACTTCTAACGGCCACACATCCAGGGAAGTGCGTTTTAATGGGTGTGGTTGCACAAGGACTTTTTCTGTGGGTAGGTACCCATCGACGTTTATGAAGCTAAAAGAGCCGCTTTTTACAAGGGCTTTATAAATAAGCGCTCCTTGTTGGAGCCCCAGCCGTGAAGCTGAATAAACAATGAACGCGGTAACCTAATTCCCGTGGACGTTCTTATGTCGATACAAGTGTAACTTCCTGCATTGGCTGTTACCAAATAAACACCTCCCAAGGTAACAAAGTGCAGCCCGCTGACGACACAGCACTTGAACAAACGTCGTGGCATCAGCCAAGGCCTGCAGAGCACCTGTTTGCAGCATATTTATCGTGCCAAGAGTGGTGTAGGTTCAGCCCAGATAAGGGTGCGATAGCCGCCACCTGCATGAGTTAGCCGTTAGGCATATTGACTCTTCAGACCTGGGTGGAGGGGGCGGGAAGTTTTACAGTGACTGTGTTACAGTCCCCAGCCGGTTCCACTTATGTTTTAATGCGTTTTTTATACTTACGGGTGTCAGTACCAATGCATCTACTGATGCGTCGAAGTTTCGTGGAGCTAAATGTCTCTCGCCCTGGCCTGTGCCTTTTCATATGGCAAGCTGTCAAAAAAGCACTTTAGAATTGAAATGCTTCATAAATACTTAAAGGGACTGTCCCACCTTAACATTAGATTTGAGTTGAGATAGCCATCTTGATGGACGTTCTTTGAAAATCAGTGCCGTGAAAACCGTTTCTCCAGCAATTACTTCATCGCAAAGAAATTTGAGTTTGATTTTGACATCTGTGCAAATAAGTGCCACAATGTATTGGTATAGGCACTTAAATCTGATGACGTCATCAGGCTTTCGAACGTCCGTTAAATGTTTGACTAAAACGTTTTGTAGCACGCGGTGGTATATGCTGCGTTGCGCGCAACAAATGCCGCACTTTTAAATAAAGTCGCTAGGAACAGCGGAGATCCCAAAAAGTAAACAAAAGTAAAAGTCTAATATCTTGAAAACCGGTGAATATTTTTCGGTGAAATTTGGTAGATATTCGTTTTCGCTCTTTCTGAACCGAGCGACATCACTTTCATGCCAATTCATAAACTTTTTTAAAGGTGGGAGGGTCCCTTTAACATTGTTGTTACGAATTACGAGCGCAACGCGTAAGGATGGGCTTTTGGCGCCTATTGTTCATAGGTATTCAAAATAAACTTATCAGGTAGCTATGTAATTCGGGTAACTTATTTTGTGAAGCAGCTGACGGCTAGTGCCATTCAAAAATATTCCCTAAGCACTGGCATTAGGCATGTGTTGCTATTTTGTAACACAGCACCGTTTACAAAAAGTTCGTAGAGACGGTAAACGTGCATGCAATAGTGCAAGAGCATATAGTATGGGGTAATGTGAGTAATGCCTATATGCTTGGCTGTTTGATGCTTTTTGCCGGTCTTGACACCAGCTCCGTTATGCATACATATTTATCACTTAGTTAGTCACGATATGTTACGATATTTAGTCACGATCACGACAAGAACATGACCGTCTACGATAGAGTTATTGGCTGCCGTCGACTGAATAAATTAACAGAGTGAAGAACAGAGCATACATGGGCGTCAATTTATGCAATTAATTGGTAGGGCTACATGCAGGTTATCAAAGCCATTCTTAACATGCCACGCCGGAGAGTTCACGTTATAATACCTACCAAACAAGATACCCGTCCATGCAGAGCGCGGACGAGAGACGAGTGCACTTACATCTCCATCCACTTACCTGTACCTACCCGGTGACCAAGAGTCGCCGCCGACAGGTCCCGCTGGTCACCAGTCTAAACAGTCGGTTCACTGACACCGCCCGAACTCTGTCCCGTCCGCCCACCCGCCCACCAGCACCGCTCTGCCCCGACTCCCGACCCGCTCTGCCCGGCCGACGAGAGAGCGCTGTGAGCGCGGAGGACAGAGCGCTGTGAGCGGAGGACAGAGCCGGGGGCGCGAGGATTGGCACATCGAACTCGGCACGCTGCCGAGTGTAGGTCACCGGGACCGTCTGTATGTTTGAACGCGTCCGTGCACAGGATAGCTAGGTGCCGACACCCTTCCCCCCTCCCCGGCACCCCGACTGGCCTCAGATGGCCTTGGAGCGGGTGCATGGGCGCACTCAGGTGGATCGCTAGTGGGGGATTCTTTTTCACCACGTGCCTGCTGAAACAGCTGCACTTGCAGTCGCAAGGCGGAGGCCAATAGCAATAGCTCCCTTTAAACTGAGAAGTAGGTAACCAGATTATGTGGTGACTAATCTAATCCCTTTCTGTACCTACGCAATTTACATTTTGCCGCGCAGAGCTCAGCGTTGCGCAATAACAGTGTCATCTGATGTTGACCTCATCTGCATATCCACTGTCCATGCAGCCAGTAAATCACCATTGGAATGCCTTGTTTTCTTATACTCACAAGCATTAATTACAATCCAACCCTTTCAATCTTTCCTTTCCCAATTGGAGGATCCGATGGGTGAGGGGACATTTATGGTCATTTACGCCCGCAAAATTCGTAAGAGCTCATCCCCTCGATAAAAGATGTTGATGCACCGACTATACCAAAGTGAGTAGCATTGTTTAGTGCTCTAACACACACAGAGAGAGAGAGAGAGAGAGAGAGAGAGAGAGAGAGAGAGAGAGAGAGAGAGAGAGAGAGAGAGAGAGAGAGAGAGAGAGAGAGAGAGAGAGAGAGAGAGAGAGAGAGAGAGAGAGAGAGAGACAGACAGACAGACAGACAGACAGACAGATACAGAGACAGAGACAGAGACAGAGACAGAGTGAGAGAGATTTTTATTCTTTTCCTCGACATCCAACCATCAATGGCGTTGGTTTCACAAAGGCCAGGGGTCAAAAACCCATCGTTTTCAATTTGCTAGTCGGTTTATGCTCTTTGATATCGAGGAAAATGTCAATTTTATTTATTTATTTATTTATATACCAAGGTGCATCGCACTCACCATTCCCGTCCTCGCTTAACAACTCGAATAACTTAGGCTTCCCGGCTACAACTATCGACCGGATAATTACTATCAGAGTCTCGGGCCGAGACTCTCGGCTCTTCACTATTACATGTCATCGTCCATTCGTCTCGTCACACACAAAGTGCCCTCATGAAGTATGCTCTTTCTCCAGAGAAGAAATGCACCGATTAATCCACGACTATTTTTTCTGTAGAATTAGCAAGGAAAAAACGGAACTGGGGAGATGATCGAAGGAAATTACACAGACGGTTACACATGTGAAACCGTCTGATGTGCCTGAAGCTTCCGACGGGTCTGTCGCTTGGCGCTCATGCCCCTGCCGACAAGACTCAGACGACCTCTCTGACCTTGAGTCAGGCCCGCCCTGCCAAACGAGGTCCTCTCCGAGTACATCAATCGGTCACATACACGGCTCCTTGCATTTAAGAGTAGATTGCAATGCAAATGTTTATGCTAATGCCCGTTAGCGTCTAATGGTGCATTGCTGCTAAGTGCTAGGGCTACTGGGGATGGGGAGGGCCGGCCTGAAAGGCCAACTGCAGCGTAGACCTTTGTCAGGATGGGCTATCCTGGCCGATCCGCTTACCGATAACCTTGAGCTGGTCCGTCTCTAGCCAATCGAGGTTGTTAATGTACGCACATTTATGCAGCGCATAGCGACACCAAGGACTATGCTCAGATCTGTACCAGCTGGTGCTATTTTTAGAAGGCGACTGTCGCCTTATTTGAATAGGACGAAGGTCTGCAGAGCGCAGACTCTCTGCACTCCATCCAATTCATATAATCAAACGAACTTTGCAAAAGGATTGACCTAGTTTCAGCAGATTATGGGTCAGGACTCAGGATGGTGAATGATGTGTTGTAAGCGCTGGAATAGAAAGGACAGACGGACCCGTCCGTCCGTGCGGATTTCATACAAATTCAGCCCTATAGATCGTTTGACCCCACTCGAGCCCGGGAGGGGAGAGTGTGCACTCTGCACGGGCTGATTTTTTTTTTTTTGGAAAGAGTCAGAACAATTTTCAGAAAGAGAACTGCAACTAGTTCTTTTTTACATTTGATTAGTGCCAAATCTTTTAGCACCAAACACCAATTGCATTTTCAGCTCAGATCAGGGCCTCATATCCGGTCCGACCGACCTAAGATTTCATAAGTAAACTTTTGCACGGTAGAATTGCCGCAACTTTGCAGCGCTCTTGATAGTGACAGGGAATTTAAGATTCGCATTCATGGGTTGTAATGGGCCATCATTTTTTTTTTTTTTAAACGAATAACTCGTGAAAAGGCGGCCAATCTCGCGCTCCGCTGGGCTATTCAGCTTTCAACCATTGCGCTCTGCTGGCTGCTGGAGGGGAGGCATATTCTGTCTCCTGTCTAGGGGAAAGTGGGATGAAACGGGCAGGGTAGGTAAGACGAGTAACCCTCTGCAGACCAAACTAATAGCGCTACGAGCGAGAAAAAATGGGAGCAAAGCTGCCTTTCTCACCACACACCACCATTGAAGCCTGGTGAATTTGTGTTCTGCTAATAATTTATTATTAACCCTCGCATGTGTGCGGCGTTTGCCAGCTTCTAATGTGTAGGGGGGGTCGGTTGGACCCCCCCCTTGCCGTTTGGCCCCTGATCGAGCTAGAGCTTCGCGGAAAAAAACGAGCGTGTTGCCCGTGACGAGAGGAAGCCGATGATACCCAATTTTAAGGTCCTAGGTCATTGGTTGACCTTCCAGGTCAGGTCAATGACCCAAAGTCGGGAAAATCGGGACCTGTTAGAAAGTCGTAAAGTGTGGCTGCTAAGGGGTTTTTCGGGGTGCTGATCACGAATATCGTGTTAGTTTTGATCACAGATGATGTCTTGAAGCATTTAGACCAGGTCGGGTCAGGTCAGGTCAGGTCAACCAGTAGGCGTCGTGACCGGTATTCGTAGTACGTGTCAACCGCCTCTGACAGCTTCGTAACATGTTACGAAGTCACCAAAACTACTTCGTAAATGTTCAAATGGTTGCTAAATTCGAATTCAGCTCCAAAAACTAGCCTAGAAACATGTAAAACTCGAAAAAGTGACCCGAGGTCACCCGAGGTCACCAAAGGTCAATGACCTGACCTGACCTTCAGGTGACCTTGACACACACGGGAGTAACATCAAATCACATGTTTGAACGTTTGAAACCACGAAAAGCTTGCAAACACGCGGCTAGTGCGAGCCGACATACGCGAAATCGCGATTCCGGCCAAACATGGTCTCGGAAAAGAGGTCACAGGTCAAAGGTCATTTGGGTCAGGGTCATGAAATTTTCAGGGTAGGTGTAAAATTGATCAATGCGAGGGTACTGAAAGTTTCGTCGCGATCGGCCGCTTTTTACGCGAGTTATTTGCGAAAAACCATGGGGGGGGTCCATCCGACCCCCCCCCCCTACACATGCGAGGGTTAAGATTTCTTTAAAAACACTCTTTCATTGAACATATCCACAGTAGGTATATTGTGTACCTAAACCTTTTCGTGCAGCACCGTGGAGTTAAAAACTCGTTATCACTAGTGGTAAACTCATATGCCACCGTTGTGTTCAATCACCGTGGTTTTGCTCTGTCTGCATCAAATTGCCCTCAGAGAAAAAAAATCGTGCTGAACTTCTGACATTGATTTTGGGGTAAGACGGGAAAGCATCGATCCAAAGGGTCTTTAGTTAGCTGGTAAAAATATATATGATGCTGTTAAAGAAAAAGAAGCATTTCTGGTAAATTAAGTTCGATCTCGATCACACAGAAATATTAGAAATATTCCTGACTATGGAATTTATTCTAGAATTCAAAAAATGAAAGGCGATTTAGAAGATGATCCTGAACTATTGCATTTATACGAACATACGTAGGTTTAAAGGGACCCTCCCACCTTCAAAAAAGTTTATGAATTGGCATGAAAGTGATGTCGCTCGGTTCAGAAAGAGCGAAAACGAATATCTACCAAATTTCACCGAAAAATATTCACCGGTTTTCAAGATATTAGACTTTTACTTTTGTTTACTTTTTTGGGATCTCAGCTGTTTCTAGCGACTTTATTTTAGAAGTGCGGCGTTTGCGGCAGATGTTGCGCGCAAATAGCATATACCACCGCGTGCTACAAAACGTTTTAGTCAAACATTTAAAAATCGTTAGATATCTGCGCTGACGTCACACATTCAGAGGGGTATTCCTAAGCATTAGCCCCTCTGAATCAAAATGCTGCAATTTTGGAATTCAATATTTCCGATATAAGGCATTTCTCGATGTTGTGAGTACCGAAACCGGTAATTGTGAGCCAGGGACCCCATTTTGGCTATCTCAACTCAAATCTAATGTTAAGGTGGGAGGGTCCCTTTAAGGTATTCTGCAGGAATTTCTATAGGTAAGCACCTAACTATTAGGTGGGCACTTCGATAACTCCCATCGATAACGATTATCGAATTCGTAATCAACGATGACGCTTTTTCAAGTTTATCGTTATTGATTATCGTTATCGAAGTAGTCCCCGTTTCGGTCAATCAATAACAATAACTTCATCAAATAGACGCTAGCGTATAAAGGGAAAGTTCACCTTCAACATGGGGTTTGGAACTGAGATAGCAGTTTTGTAGATTGAGCACTGAAAAATGTTATTTGGAATAGGTGTCTTTTACAAGCTCTGTCGCCAAAGTTATTCATTTTTTTCTACGTTTGTTTGTATGTACGGGAAAAAATAACATTTTTACTGTTCTAACTAGCCCATGTGTAAGCAGCTGCAGGTAATAATTGTGTTGCATGAGCGAATGGATTAAATATTAATTAGAAGCTTGTTCCTTTCAAATATTTTATCCTTTTTATTTCTTTCGTTCTTGAAGTTATCGTTATCGTTATCGCGTTATCAAAGTGACCGATTTGATTATCGAGTTATCGTTGGGAGTTATCGAAGTCGCTGACCTCGAAAGAGGTTAACCCTCGCCCTGGCAGGGCATTTTTCATAACACGGCCTGGCAGGGGGGGGGGTCGATGCGACCCCCCCCTCGCGATTGGCTCCTATGGCACCTAGAAACGCCAAATTTGGTAGGTAGGTGGGCCCCCTGGAGTTCTCGCCCCTGTGCAAATTTGGTTGCTCTAGGTCAATATTTAGGGGGGTTTTGGGGGGTATAAATGTAAAAATTTCGCTAAAAACAGGTCAAAAGTTTTTCGCTTATAACTTTTGATCTAATTAAGATAGAGCAAAAAGAAAAGCACCAGTGAACTCAGCACGTCAAGGCGCGTCGAATGATATACTTTTTAGCTTGCTTAAGTGTACTTAAAGTTTTTCTTAAATTTTAAGTAAACTTAAATTAATAAATTAAGTTAAAGTTAACCAAATTGCATCATATCGCATATCATTCGATTTGGCTGATCACCAGGAACACAATGATACCATTTTTTAAGCTCTAGCAGCATTATGTGCCAAGTTATTGGCAAAAACGTCATTTGACCTCAGTTGACCTCATTTGACCTGACCCATGGATAACTACACCAAACAAAGAAGCACCAAGTGACCTGCTGTTAAGTACTGTGGTTTCAAAGCACAAAAGTGATAGAACGAAGCGGATATCTCCAGTATTTTCCGAATTTAGTATTTTCCCATAGGCTTAACATTACGACGTAATGACCTCTAACTGACCTCAGGTCAGTGACCTCAAAAAACCCGAACTATATGTTATACAACTCGGTGAACTTAGCACATCCTGAAAGTTTGAAGGAAATCAGTGCAAAACTGTGAGTTGGACAGGTGCAAAAAGAAAATTGAAATTTGACCATGACCTTGTACCGGTTTTTCTGACCTGGTGACCTGACCCAAGGTCACCCGGACCTGAAATTTTCAGGTCATATGTAAAAAGGTTGCCCCATAGGCTGTGCCAAATTTGGCGGCGCTGCGCGCCGCCGTTTTTACGCTATCTTCGAAAAACCTTAGGGGGGGGGGTCGCATCGACCCCCCCCCCCTGCCAGGGCGAGGGTTAACGAATTATCGTTACCGAAGTCCCGGTCAAGCTACGAGTGGCCCACCGCTGCCTTCGGCTCCCGCAACTTCGAAATAAATCCGTTGAAACCGTCTCCCTGGACGGATATAATGGAAACCGTCTCCCTATTGGAGCGTTCGTCGACCTGCGGCGACGGGCCGACGGCGGCAGGCCAAGAGATGTGAGCTTGGCCGGAAGTCCATCACGGCCCGCCAGGTTACCGCCCACAGATGGCGGGACGAGAGTGACAGTGTTGCGGCCGACAGATACCATAGGGAGACCGGAGACGGTTTTCGCACCCTTGAGCGCACAACACCGATCACAGGGGGTGTGGTGCGGCTGGTGATCGGACGACGGGCATCGTCCGATCACCAGCCGTGTGTTTTGTTTTAAAGAAATCAAAATAAAAGATTATCGACTGAACACAAACTCGCCAGACTTCAATGGTGGTGTGTAGTGGGAAAGCAATTCTGGTCCTAATTTTTCTCGCTCGTAGCGCTTTTGGTTTGGTCTGCAGAATGGGTGCCCGTATTACCTACCCTGACCCAAGGCCGTGTAGGTATAGGCCTGACCCAAGGCCGTATAGGTATAGGCCCAAGGCCCTGACCGTCTTACCCCACTTTCCCCTATGTCACGTAAGGCCTTGGTTTTGATTTCAAAACAATTTGGAGCGATTTTGGAGTGAAATGCATCGCAAATATTAAGATATTCACAGCCAAAATTCATATTGCTGCTTATGCAATATTACACCATGCATCACAGTGACTGACCAAACAGTCGCCCCTACTAGCTTATTAGTGACAAAACTGCAGCAGTTTTACATTCAACGGGAAGTAATCAGCTGGCTGAAAGTAGACGAAAACGCCGCTGATAAACAATCCAAATGTCTTCATGACGCTACAATTTACATAACATAGCAGGCGTTCTTCATAAAAAAAATCTGCTGGCAAGGTAATATCATGTTATTTCATAATAATAATAGGTGCATAGCTCACGAGTGCTAATTCATATGGTTATTTATAGAGAGTTATAAACGGCAAAAGGAAATTGAAATGCCAACGCTTGTGACGCCATGGAGAAGCCGATCAATCACAATGGCGATCATGATATGCTAATAAATTTTGTATTACTTGCCCAAAAAATTGGCAGCTTAGAGTCTAAGCTGGTAATCTTTGGGGGCAAGTCTATAATATTAGCATTCTCAACCCTTGGATCTACCAGGGGTAATGGTAGCGCTGTCTTACACCTTTTCTGCCGGTGCTGAGGTTGAAACTAATCAAGGTCACTTAACCCGCGCCCCAGTGGCGGTCTCAGCCAACTTCGCCCTAGTGAGGGGGGGCATATGTTACCACCCACCTCTAACTCAAAAACTAAGAGGGCTAGAAAGACGCGGTAAAAAACAGTCGATAGCTCTTAATGCGTACGTTTGAAAGTATTTCGGTCATTTTTCATCTTGGAGCAATATTGGGGTCACTGGAGGTCATCAAAGGTCAAAATTTGCAAAATGTCATTATATTTTTCAGAAAACATGCTTTTTTCTCAGGAACTATGATAGCTAGAAAAACGCATGGAAAAGCAATCGATAGCTTTTGAACTCTTCTTTCGATAAGGTCCTTATCAAAATTGACCTCAGGTCAACGGTTTAGCCTGCAGAGGGCAAAAACTCCAAAAATAGCTGTTTTTACGCAAAGTGTTTTTCGACAATAACTTTTGACTAGAAAAAGCCACGACATTTCTATTGCCAGAATCGTGTTCCTCTCGACGAGACGCGTCGAATGAACTATAATTTGACCTTGAAAGGTCAACTTGAAAATTTGACCTCAGGTCAAGGTCATAACCTGACCGGAATAGGTCATGTTGCATATCATTCGATGCGTCTCAACAAGACAAACACAATGAAGCCATCCCCAGCGTTCTATCTCTTTCCAATCGCGAGTTATTGGCAAAAAGCTGTTTGTAGCCTCAAATGACCTCGGATGACCTTTCTAGAGGCTATCAGCAAAAATGACACCTTGGTCATCACGAGTGGCCCAAATCATTATGATTCTGAAATATTTGGACTGTTCCTATGCGTACACACGGATCTAGAGGCATTTCCATTTTTCTCCATTGACTTATAATGGTAAGGTCACGCCACTGACCTGACCTTAGGTCACGGATATAAAAAATCCGAGATATACAAATTGTAGGCGCCGATAACATCATGCAATCCACCAAGTTTAAAACCTTTCTGACAAACACTGCAGGCTGGACATGATTGCAAACTTTTTTTTAGGCCTGGTCAGTTAACTTGACCTGGTGACCTGACCTGACATGACCTGGGGTCACAAATTTCACACATTGTCCAAAATTGATGTACAAAAAGCTATGCCAAGCGGCGCGGCGCTACGCGCCGCGGTTTTTTATTTATACGCAAAAAACGCGACAGGGTGGTAACATATGCCCCCCCCCCCACTGGGGCGAAGGTTAAGCCAGTGCTTCCGTTATCCTTAAGTTATGTTGCCCGTTGCCGCAGCCCGTGGATGTACGGTTTATATAGCCTTGGTTGTACCTGTTCAAATTTCAATTTGATTAGATTACAGGACTTAATCTAGTGATATTGATATTACCAGAGTTTGGTGGTATCACAGAAAGAGTACGATCCAGATCAGGAATGTCACAATAAAAGTCATACTACATTATACATTTTGACCTCCTGAGCTCATATCTGATAATTATTTGTGGCGTACCTAACCAAGTGCAATACACACTTGCAATATTCGGTATAGGTACCCCCAATAAATCTGCACTGTTCTGTACAGGCCATAAATCACTGTACCCTCAGGCCATAAATCCACACCACTTGCAGCCTGTGCTCAGACTGGAAAAAATGCATGATATGCTGAAAATGTTGGGAAGTGGCGGGATTGCACCAAAAATTTCAGCACACATGCGGTGTAACTTCGTGTGTGTCAAACTCAGTTTATGGCAGACCGTGAATTTTTGGAGCATGACGGTCACATAATTTTTTGGTGAATGGCGGTCACTGGATTTTTTTGACACCCTGGCCAATTGAGCAGCAGATTTATCCTGAGGGTGGCTCTGGAGAGGGTCCGGGACAAGTCGTCCACGCCCGTCCGCCGTCGTCACGTGCTCAGACTCACGAGCCGCGTTGAGTACTGAATGGAGGAGTGGCTGCCCAGGTGAGGCCTCCACCCTCGGCACAGAGATAGGCATGAAAGACCTTGTTGAATGTTGCCTGGTGTCGCAAAGTACCTAATCATGCAGTGGGTTCCTGCCCACTGCGGGATCGAGGGGAATGAGACCGCAGACGACCTGGGGAAACTTGCGGCCGCCCTGCCTTTAGACGCCCGCTCGCTTAAACCGGGTGGTTCATCATACAGCCTTGCGTCAATAGCGCGACAACTGGTCCGAGTCACTATTCAATCCACTCTTCGGGAGCACGCTGCCGCTCCCCATCCCTGAGAGGGCGCCGTTTCGGTGCACCAGATGAAGGCGGGCCACTGGGGCCGCTCGCTCCAGTACCTGCACCGAATCGGCCGTCTCCTCTCCGCGGCATGCCAGCAGTGCGCGGACAAGCGGTAACCCCGGCGCTCTGCGCCGTGTGCTGAGAAGAGGCTGATGTGCCAGAGCAGGTGATGCCCCCGGCCCTCGCTGGCGCTCGCCAGCTTCGAACACACCGCTCCGCCGACACACCGTACAATGCTGCACCACTTACCTCACCAGCAAAGCAGTTCCAGTTCAGCTTTAGCTGCTGCTTTGAGCTTGAGTTTGCACCACTCCATGCGAATTCCACATCAGTCACCACACTGTAGCTAATCTGAAGTCCACTGTGCACTAGCAGAGTTTCCCTGCACCTACAAGATTTCATTGAGATTGCCATACTTTGTAGTCTGGTCAAACATGAGTTTCATAGGTCATCTTCATTCATTTTTGCAGTATATTTTCAAAATTTCTCGATTTGGGTGCTACCTGACATCCAAATGAAAATTATTTTGCACTCTCATCAGTATCATCCCCATTTTTAAAGAGCTATCTCCAACTCCCAGTTTTACTGACAGATAGCATTTGCATTGCAGTTAGTTTCACACCCTGCAATCTGTCACAGTTGCATATAGTTAAATGTGCGCAATTGATCCCTTTTCCATTCTTTTTGGAGCACATGTGACTCACAATTTTCCACTCTTATCCCCCTCTGACACCCAAGCCAAAATACATTTTTGTGACACTGCATTTTTGTCACTCTCCATTTATACCTGATACTGATTCTGGAGTTGGATAAGTTTTACCCTATGTTACAGCATTTTTTAGTACCAAAGACCCGCCGCCCAGCCACCGTGGTTGAAGCAGCAGCAGCAGCAGCAGTGGTGCGGGTCCGGCAGGCACCATGCTGCCGTACTGTCCTCTGAACACGAGCCAGCCGTGGGACAAGTGGCACGACCATGGCGTCTCGGACTGTCTGCTGGAGACCGTCTGCACGGCGGCGCCGGCGGGGCTGCTGCTGCTGCTCGGCATTGGGGAGCTGATCTTTTACCGGCGCCACGGCACCGCTCTGGAGCACTACAGCCGTCCCCAGTCGGCCCTGTTCCGACTGCAGGTGAGAGAACCACAGCGAGCACATGACGCAATGGACAGTTCTCCGTGCTGTGCAGTGTGGCTTTGCCGGGCTAGATATGTGGGTGCTTCTTCATGGAATTATGGTTTAATGACTGCATTTGTTTTAAAATGACTCCTGGGACCTTTGAATGATTGGTTGTCAGAGACGTTTTTTTTTGCACTGATAGGTAAGAACCTGATCTGAAATATGAATCTCCATAACCATCCCATTTTCTGGTCAGTACGTTTGATCTCTGCATAATTTCTCATGACCTCTTGCGTATCGATTTCGTAAACTCGTCCGTAAAGATTCAGAGTTATGAAGCGTGCATCATGTTCCCACCGTCTATAACGCCGCCCTGCCCGCCGTTCAGGTGGCCACGACTGTCGTGCTGGCGCTGCTGGCCCCAGCGCGCCTGCTGGCCCAGTGGCTGCTGCTGCCGGCCGGCCAGCCGCTGGCCGGGTTTCAGGTACTGGTCTGCGTGCTGACGGCGCTCAGCTGGTTCGGCTCGCTGCGGCTCATCTGGCTGGAGCGGAACAACCTGCTGCCGGCGGTACCGGTGCGCGGCCACGGTATACCGCTGCTGCTGTACTGGGCGGCCGCGCTGCTCGGTCAGGCGGTGGAGCTCATCAACTTCCGCAGCCCCCACTGGTGGTTCCGGCTGGACAGGTGGGTGCCGCGTAGCGGACAGCCTCGCCCCCCCCCCCCTCTACCCATGTCACACACAGGATGTACGTATTTCCCGACAGCTGGGTGTGGGAACCGACCGGTAACGTCCTGGCGACACCGAGTACTCGATATTGCTCTTGAGAAATTGAAGGGATTATCGAACATTAACCAGCAAATTTGACTAATCCTTTTAAATGCACATTATAGTCATTACACAGCGCTAGTCACATACCACGTCAAGTCCATATAGTGCATTTAGTTAACACAGCAAGCAAGAGATCGGAAAGAATGACATATGTGCTTTGTTTTTTTTTTAACTTTTTGTATTTAGCGTACATTTGGTAGTTCCTTCGTTCCTCCGCGTAGCTCTAGCGACTGTCGGCCGATGCTACCGGCTCATGTCTGTCTATATCGGTGTATTAGGGCCTTGCCTGAGGCCCATGGAAGTACTGACACCTCCCCTTTCTCCGGTTCCAGTAACATCGACTGGGTAGAGGTGTCGCTGTACGGGGTCCGCCTGGCTGGCGGCGTGCTTGTTTTCCTGATCGGTCTCCGCGCGCCCGGCATCGCGTCCGTGGCCGACTACATACCCTGTCAGCGGCCCGCCGCCGGCACCGACGGCGTCAATAACGTGAGTACACACTGAATCGTCGTTAGGCATCCGGCCTGTTCAGTGGTTTAGTTTAGAGCTGGCATATTTGAGTGGCGAGGAAGGGTAAATCCCGGTGTATGTGTATGCAAACATCCTCTCGAAGTCATGTGATTAATTTATCAAGTGACAAGTCCTGAAAAGTGATCTAGCTATTTTATGTGTGTGTCATAAATGGTTGCTGTGTTCGCGGACACTGGCGGATCCAGTCGTGTGGTTTGGGAGGGGAGGGGCCAGGGGGCAACTCGTGACGAATGGCTGCCCTATCAGTCAAGAGCGACACTAACAATTTTGTACCTTATTACTGTAGTCTATGACGGAATATTTCACAAAGCATTAAAGAATATGATGGATTGTGTGTTCGCAAAAATGAGCACCAATGGGAGTTATCGGAGGCCGGCTTGATACCTCAGATGGCAGGGCCATCTCACAGGAGTCCGAACCTTGCGTAGAGCAGCGAAGGACCCGAAGAAGCCCGCGCAGGGGGTCCCAAAGATCGGCGTGGGCGCCCAGTGGCCTGCATGAGATCTTCAGGGACCAGTGAGGATTGTCAGATTTTAGGAACCGATGTAAGGTCCGCAAATGCCGATGTGGGTTCGATGAAAGCCGGCATGAGGCTCGTGAGGAACCTAAGAAGACAAGCGTGACCTGACCTGAAGGCTTGAAAGCAGATTGGGCTGTCATACCGGTATAGGCCCCTCAATTAAGCCCTGGTGTGGGCCGTCAGCGTTCGACAAGGTGCCGTCAGAGACCGACTCAGGGACCCTACAGGCCTGCACTAGGCAGTAGGCACCCATGGGCCGATGTAGGGTGGTCGGAGGTGGGCGTGGAGCACTCGGAAACCGGTGTGAATCCCTCGGGAAAACACATCGCCCTTCAGAGGCCGCCTTGGGGCACTCTGGCCGGAGTAAGGCTTTCAGCGGTCGGCTTGGACCTTCTTACGTTCACGGGCCCTCCGGACTCCGGACCCTTTGTGGGGCCTTTGTAAAGCTCTTTGGTGGCCCTGAATGATTGGCTTTGGTTATTACAGGTAGAGGTAGAAGGCTCTCCGCGACCTTATTGAGAGCCCCAGAGGCCTGGACTCTCTGACACACCTCAAATTGGAACGAGTCCCTCTGAGATCAGTAGGGCCCCGAGAAGCTGCCGGTGTGAGACGCTTAGAAGTCATTTTGAGATCCTCAGGGGCCAGTGGGGCCGGTACGCGTCTGGCTTGAAGAAATCGGCGTGGAACCTGAAGAGGCCTTCGGATGAGCTCTCAGAGATAGAGATAGCTGCGTAAATTTAAAGAACATTGCATAGGTATTGATAAAACATCGTCAGGTATCACTCTTTTATTTCATAATATTTCTATAAGGTTTGAACTTTGACCGTGCTGGCCCCCTGGATCTGCAAGTGGGACCAATCTTTGTTTATACAGCGCTGAGGCCATTATTATAAAATAAATTCCGAGCCGGCTGTGAATTTAATTCCCGATTCTGAGCCGTTGATTATCATAAAAATGCAGCCTGAAAAAAACGAGCGGTAAAAAGAAGACAAAGTCACGTGGCGGTGGACGCAAAATTCCGAGCTACTGATTATTATAAAAATGACTTTTTTACAATTCAAGGCGCATAAACAGCGCCACAATTGTACAAAACTGCGAATTTTCAGCAAATATTTGGACAACACTATTCGACCGCCACCCTTGCAGCCATTCTATAACTCAGGAACTACTGGACCGATCGGAACGAACGAAACACCATTCGAATCAGGGGGTACGATTTTATCAGCCGTTTCGAAGCTCGTGACCCCAGGTGACCTCGGTGACCTCAAGAGGTCAACTCGGCATTGACGCCTATTGCAGCCATTCTATAACTCAGGAACTACTGGGCCGATCGCAACGAAAACACCACCATTCGATTCAGCGTATGCGATTTCATCAGCCGTTTCGAATATAGTGATCTCAGGTGACCTCGGTGACCTCAAAAGGTCAATTTGACGTTTTCGCCTATTGCAGCCATTCTATAACTCAGGAACTACTGGGCCGATCGTGACGAAAACACCACCAGTCGATTCAGCGTATGCGATTTCATCAGCCGTTTCGAATGTGGTGACCTCAGGTGACCTCGGTGACCTTGAGAGGTCACATGACCGTTGTGGCCTATGGCAGCCATTCTATAACTCAGGAACTACTGGGCCGATCGCGACGAAAACAGCACCAGTCGATTCAGCGTATGCGATTTCATCAGCCGTTTCGAATATGGTGACCTCAGGTGACCTCGGTGACCTTGGGAGGTCACATGACCGATGTGGCCTATGGCAGCCATTCTATAACTCTGGAACTACTGGGCCGATCGTGACGAAAACACCACCAGTCGATTCAGCGTATGCGATTTCATCAGCCGTTATGAATATGGTGACCTCAGATGACCTCAGTGACCTTGGGAGGTCACATGACCGTTGTGGCCTATGGCAGCCATTCTATAACTCAGGAACTACCGGGCCGATCGCGACGAAAACACAACCAGTCGATTCAGCGTATGCGATTTCATCAGCCGTTTCGAATATGGTGACCTCAGGTGACCTCGGTGACCTTGGGAGGTCACATGACCGTTGTGGCCTATGGCAGCCATTCTATAACTCAGGAACTACTGGGCCGATCGTGACGAAAACACCACCAGTCGATTCAGCGTATGCGATTTCATCAGCCGTTTCGAATATGGTGACCTCAGGTGACCTCGGTGACCTTGGGAGGTCACATGACCGATGTGGCCTATGGCAGCCATTCTATAACTCAGAAACTACTGGGCCGATCGCGACGAAAACACCACCAGTCGATTCAGCGTATGTGATTTCATCAGCCGTTTCGAATATGGTGACCTCAGGTGACCTCGGTGACCTCAAAAGGTCAACTTTACGTTTTCGCCTATTGCAGCCATTCTATAACTCAGGGGAACTACTGGGCCGATCGTGACGAAAACACCACCAGTCGATTCAGCGTATGCGATTTCATCAGCCGTTTCGAATATGGTGACCTCAGGTGACCTCAGTGACCTTGGGAGGTCACATGACCGTTGTGGCCTATGGCAGCCATTCTATAACTCAGGAACTGCTAGGCTGATCGTGACGAAAACACCACCAGTCGAATTAGCGTATGCGATTTCATCAGCCGTTTCGAATATGGTGACCTCAGGTGACCTCGGTGACCTTGGGAGGTCACATGACCGATGTGGACTATGGCAGCCATTCTATAACTCAGGAGCTACTGGGCCGATCGCGACGAAAACACCACCAGTCCATTCAGCGTATGCGATTTCATCAGCCGTTTCGAATGTGGTGACCTCAGGTGACCTCGGTGACCTTGGAAGGTCCATGACCGTTGTGGCCTATGGCAGCCATTCTATAACTCAGGAACTACTGGGCCGATCGCGACGAAAACACCACCAGTCCATTCAGCGTATGCGATTTCATCAGCCGTTTCGAATATGGTGACCTCAGGTGACCTCGGTGACCTTGGGAGGTCACATGACCGATGTGGCCTATGGCAGCCATTCTATAACTCAGGAACTACTGGGCCGATCGTGACGAAAACACCACCAGTCGATTCAGCGTATGCGATTTCATCAGCCGTTTTGAATATGGTGACCTCAGGTGACCTCGGTGACCTTGGGAGGTCACATGACCGTTGTGGCCTATTGCAGCCATTCTATAACTCTGGAACTACTAGGCCGATCGTGACGAAAACACCACCAGTCGATTCAGCGTATGGGATTTCATCAGCCGTTTCGAATATGGTGACCTCAGGTGACCTCAGTGACCTTGGGAGGTCACATGACCGATGTGGCCTATGGCAGCCATTCTATAACTCAGGAACTACTGGGCCGATCGCGACGAAAACACCACCAGTCGAATCAGCGTATGCGATTTCATCAGCCGTTTCGAATATGGTGACCTCAGGTGACCTCGGTGACCTTGGGAGGTCACATGACCGCTGTGGCCTATGGCAGCCATTCTATAATTCAGGAACTACTGGTCTGATCGTGACGAAAACGCCACCAGTCGAATCAGCGTATGCGATTTCATCAGCCGTTTCGAATATGGTGACCTCAGGTGACCTCGGTGACCTTGGGAGGTCACTTGACCGTTGTGGCCTATTGCAGCCATTCTATAACTCAGGAACTACTGGGCCGATCGTGACGAAAACACCACCAGTCCATTCAGCGTATGCGATTTCATCAGCCGTTTCGAATATGGTGACCTCAGGTGACCTCGGTGACCTTGGGAGGTCACATGACCGATGTGGCCTATGGCAACCATTCTATAACTCAGGAACTACTGGGCCGATCGTGACGAAAACACCACCAGTCGATTCAGCGTATGCGATTTCACCAGCCGTTTCGAATATGGTGACCTCAGGTGACCTCGGTGACCTTGCGAGGTCACATGACCGTTGTGGCCTATGACAGCCATTCTATAACTCAGGAACTACTGGGCCGATAGCGACGAAAACACCACCAGTCGATTCAGCGTATGCAATTTCATCAGCCGTTTCGAATATGGTGACCTCAGGTGACCTCGGTGACCTTGGGAGGTCACATGACCGTTGTGGCCAATGGCAGCCATTCTATAACTCAGGAACTACTGGGCTGATCGTGACGAAAACACCACCAGTCGATTCAGTGTATGCGATTTCATCAGCCGTTTTGAATATGGTGACCTCAGGTGACCTCGGTGACCTTGGGAGGTCACATGACCAATGTAGCCTATTGCAGCCATTCTATAACTCAGGAACTACTGGGCCGACCGTGACGAAAACACCACCAGTCGAATCAGCGTATGCGATTTCATCAGCCGTTTTGAATATGGTGACATCAGGTGACCTCGGTGACCTTGGGAGGTCACATGACCGATGTGGCCTATGGCAGCCATTCTATAAATCAGGAACTACTGGGCCGATCGCGACGAAAACACCACCAGTCGATTTAGCGTATGCGATTTCATCA